GATCACATTGAGCATGGGGAGTTGGTGTGTGTGCATAACGTTTTAATTCTTTTTATATCCTCTTGTCCTACCCTCCCTTCCTACCCTCTCTCTATCTCTTGGTCACCCTCCTATTTACAAAAAAGTGTCTTCTTGTTTCCCACTATTTATCTTCTATTTTTAACTTATATATTTGGCTTCTTTTAGAAGAGAAACCATGTTGTATTTGAGTTTGTGTATCTGATTTATTTCACTTGATGTTATGATATCAAGGCGCATTCATTTTCAAACACACATGACTGAAGCATTTTCTTTATCCAGTCATCTGTTCATGGACATATAGGCCACTTCGGAGATTTAGCTATTATGAATTGTGCTGCTATGCATCTGTGATATAATGTCTTTTATTCTTTCTCTTCCCTAGAAACTTAGCATCCTGCAGAGCAAGCCATTGCCCTGAGAAGAAGGCAGGTGAGAGACTGTCCTCTCCAAGAGAACCCTAGAGTGGGCCTCAGGTTTCAAGAGAAGCATCTTTTTCCTTGGCCTTTAGAAGCCATGGGGAGCAACAGGAAGGACAGCCACGCAGAGATGACCAGCCTCGCTAGGTCGCACCATCCACTGTGGCAGTGGCTCCTTGTTGGTGCAGCATAGGAGTCCAAAATATTTCACAGCTGAAAGCTCACAGAAGCACAGAACCCCACCTGAGGTGGGTACCCCCTTCTTTCACTGAGTGCAGGTGAGTGGTCCATTCAGGTGATCTGCCGCTGACCCTGTGTAACCCTGAGGAGTCTCCCCACCCTCCCTAACTGTCTATAAAGTGAGTAATAACACCTCAGAAGGCTTACACAAAGGTTAAATAAAGCAGTGCATTGCTTTTCTTCAGCTGGTTTCCTTGGTTATTTGCTTAAAATGAAACAAAATAAGGCACAATGAACCCAGCTCCAAATTCTGTGTGTATGTGTGTATGTGTGTGTTTGTGTGTGTGGTGCTGGGATGGAACCCAGGGCCTTGCACAAGTTCTCTGTCACTGAGTTATACCCTTGGCCTCCAAGTTCCCCAAATCTGGAGTTATATTTGGTTCCCATGTAATGGAAAAATTAGAAAAAATTACCCATCATTCCACCTCCTAAAGAGAGCTAATACTGACATACTGATCTGCAACCTTCCAATTATGTTTTATTCACACACAGACCCACTTATACATTCACAAAATTCATTCCTATACATTATTTTTAGCCTGCTTTTGTTCTTTACTGAATCACAATTAGCATATTTTCTTGTCCATAAATGTTGTCAATTAATGTGTGTACTAAGTCCATTGTACAGATGTAATATATTTTTAGAGCTTCTATTTTTGGACTTTTAAAGTTTTTTTCTCATCCTTCCTCTGACAGAAAATTCTCTGCTGAATGTTCTTGAGCAAATGATTGACCATTTGTAAGGGGAAATTTCCAGATGTAGTCTTACTGATCAAAATAAAAAACAGTATAATAACTCTTTCTATATATTGCCAAATTTCCTCTCAGAGAAGTTCTAGCAACTTAACCCCTCACTGATGGTGAAATAATATGCCTGTTGCACCATATGATTGCTAAAACTAGGCCTTTAATCTCTTTTTAAGCCTTTGTTTGATCAAGGATAATGAATTACATTGTTATTTTGTTTCTTACAGCTGAAAATAAAATTCCTGTCAATATTGGTCATGTTCTTCATCATTAAAAATATAAAGATATCTTTCTTACAATCACAGAATTTCATTAGAAGATTTAAACTTTGACTTAATATTTTATAAATATTTTGTAGTTTTTCATTTGGCTTAATTTTATGATTTTTTGACACTGGATATATTTGAAAATTGTATGAAATTAAATTTAGTAACTCATTTGGCTGCCTACCATGCTTAGAGAACCTGGAATGATTTTTAAAATAAATTATTTTCCAGGGATGGTCTATATATAGTATGTTTTCTGAATCTTTTAATGGTTGAGAATAAGGATTTGCAATCTCATATAAGTATAATAGCTGGGCAGGCCAGTGTTGTTTTTGCTTTATTTTGTTTTTGAGACAGAGTCTTGTTATATCGTTCAGGGTTGAACTCACTATGTAGCCCAGGCCGGCCTTGATCACTAGGGGATCCTCCTGCCTCTTCCTCTGGGATTACAGGTGTGTGCCACTATGCCCGGCTATCAGATTGTTTTTAACACACAACCTGGAAATCTCAGAACTCTGGGGGACTGAGGCAGGAATGTCACAGGTTCTAGATCAGCCTGGGCAATTCAGTGACTTAGAGAGGCCCTGTCTCAAAATAAAAAGTAAAAGGGCTCGGGATGTAATTCAGTGCAAAGGACCTGGGTTCAATCCCAAGTATGGAAAACAAAACAAAACAAACAAACAAACCCTTTGGAGGGCTGTTCCCCTATTTTTTGAAATTTAGTGTTGAGAAATAAGTCTGATTGGTTGAGATTTCATACTTTGGCTGGCTGCTCAGTGGGGCTTTGGAAGGAAAACAAAGTTTCCCACAGTACACAAAAATTATCTTTCCTTATTTCTTGGTCCCATCTCCTGGTCTGCCTTTTTCCAGGATTTCCTGTTCAGTCTCCAGGACCCACTCTGCATGCCTCAGGTCTCTTGCTTGGGTTTCATGTTGGTACCTTTGTCCTGAGCCCCAGGTTTCCCCGGGAGTGGGGGACTGGCTGGTTTGGTCACCTGCTCTGTATGCATGTGGGCTTTTCCCCTCTGATGCCTCTGATGCCTCCTAAAAGCAGCTTTCCTTGATTGACCTTGGATTGCTCATAAGCAATCTCCTTTCAATTATTGTGGAGATCCTGAATTTATCATTGTACAAAATGTCACTCTTTCTACAACAAGCTTTTCCCTAGAGTCCCCTTTTCTTTGTTGCCCCTGTGCATCTGGCAGGTACCTACATATAATTTGCACTTAGAACTGTCCCTATATAACAAAGATAAATGTACTATTTGTGTCAATTATTTAAAATTTTCATTTTTAAAAATGACATTTGTTTTAATTACTTTTTACTCGATGAGACAAAATACCTGATGCCTGAAGTTAAGTAGGAAAGGTTTATTTCTTACAGTTCTTGGAGGTTTCTGTCCATATGCAGTTGGCGCCAAGGCAGCATGGCATTGTGGGGCAGCCATTCATGGCAGCTACAAACAGTAAGACGCAAACCCACAAGAGAGACACATCTTCTTCCCACCATTACATTGTATGCTGGCTCCACCCCTAGGTGGTATAGCACTCACCACCAATCCGAGTGCAAGACAATGAACCAATCACAAATGCTAGGTTTGGTTGAGTCCATAATTGTATGAGGCTTGGGGGCACTGACATAAACCATGGCAACATTGAATAGCAACAAAACAAAACAAAACAACAACACTACGAGCAGACAAGAGATTGCAGAAGAATGGCAAAAATTCCTTATTTTAGTACCTTTAGAACTTCCCTCTGCACGGTGAACAAATGAGTCCACCATTCAGTTGCACTGGACCTTGCTGGTCACATAGCTGGTCCAGGCACAGGCAACTCTCTCCCTCCCTCAGGTAGCTGGAGGAGCCGATGTTGCATCTGCATCTGATGGCACTGTCCCTGCTTGGATGTGTAGCATTTGGAATGCATTTCCTGTCACCTCCTGTTCCCATCATTCACCAAACCATTCCCACAGGTGTTTCCTAGTTTGAGGGGAGGACAGTGGCCCTGGTCACATGACAGGGGGTGCTCAGGTGACCATCTGCTAACACACAGAGTTGCTACCTTAAGTCCACCCTACAGTCTCTCCTTGGTGTCCAGGCCATCAGTTCCAGGACAGCACTTGGATATGGAAATCCATGGATACTCAAGTCCCTTATGTAAAATAATGCACTGTGATATCTCTTGTGTGACCTGTGTGATCCTGGTCTATATCTTACAGCATCTCTAGATGACTTATACTAGCTAACTCAATGCAAGTGCAAGATACATGCTTGTTTAGGGAAGAATAACAGAGAAAAATGTGTGTTAGGTATACACGCAACCATCAAAGGTCTATCTCCTTTTCCCTCTGCGGTGGGTTAGATACTGAGGGTGACTGTTCCTTAATTGATCACCCGAGTTATTCACATAAATCCTGCCCACAGTGCCTGATGCCTGACGCCACTATAACTCTGGCTTCCTTCCACTTTCCTGGCCTCCCACAACTCTGTCATTGTTTACAACTCTCTCTGAATGTAACTCTCTTTGGTTTTACATGCACAACACCTTCCTGGAGAGTCCTACTGCTCTTTGGAAGGGACGCAGGCATCTCTGACCCCTGCTACTCTCAATGGGGCAGGGAGCCATCAGGAGCCCAGCAGTCTGCCCTGTCCAGTCCCTTCTTGACTGCCCAGACAGAAACCAAGCTAAAGAGACCCTGGAGTGCTGCCCCTTACCCCTGGGCTCTCTGTGAGTGTGCCACTTTCTGTTTTGCCCCTCCGCCACTCCTCTATTTTATTTTTTTGCAGTCCAGGGGATTGAACCTGGGACCATCACAGTGAGCTATATCTCCAGCCTCTTTTTTATTTTGAGACAGGGTCTTGCTAACTTGCTCAGGCTGTGCTGCAGTTTGTGATATTCCTGCCTCGGTCTCCCAGAGTGTGAGCATTGTAGGCCTGTGTCACTATGCCTGGCTTTGCCACTTTCTTCTTGATTTTCACCTGCCACCCTCAGGGTTCTTTATCAGCTTTTAGGCTGAGACTGGGGAGGTGAAGAAACCCTTGGCCTCCCTTTGCCTAGGATGGAAATGGCTGTGGATTGCTGTTCATGGCAGATTTTGGATTTACTGTTGATGGCAGATTTTGCTGAGGAGGGAAGTTGGCACCTGTTTGGCGCGCATGCACGTTCACACACGTGAGAGAGAGAGAGAGAGAGAGAGAGAGAGAGAGAGAGAGAGAGAGAGAGAGAGAGAGAGAGAGAACAAAGGGAAACAAAGGGAAACAAAAACAAAGGACAGCACATCCATAATGATAACTGCCCAAATTACTTACCAAAGACATCTGCGAAGCTGTGAGCCATTCAGGAGGAATGTGAAAATGAGCCCCAGCTGAGTCTCCCAGCAAAATGATTCCCCTGGGCTGTGAACCTAGGCAGCACAATTTATTCCCATTATTTATGCACTCAAGTAGCTGGAGCTCTGAACTGGGCAGGGATGAGCAAGGAAAGCCCAGCGTGTGTTGCACGGGCAGCACAAGGGTGCAATGATGTGGAGCCACATCTCCTGGGCTGGGGTGTGAGGGGCACAGAGCTTGGGAGCTGGAGGAATCCTGAGGCTGTGGTACTGTGAGCTAAGCTGTACACATGAAAGTGGGTTTCCCAGCTCTGTATAAGACCAGCTGGCGTGCCACAGCCTGAGTGAGTGATGGATAAATAAATGAATCCAAACTTTATCTGGACTCAGAAATATGCTCTGCATTTTGGTTCTGGAAATAGTTTTCTTGGAAAACACATCAACTTCCACTGTAATTCACTTTAGGAGCTAATGACCTTATGGGGCAGTTTTGATTTTTCAAAGATGTTATGGTCTTTTAAAGCCCTTAATTCATACACACACGGAAGCACTGGGTGGATAATTCTGGCTGATTAATGGAGCCGCTGAGTCAGAAAGGCCACCGTGCAGCCTGTGTGTCTGGAGGTAAGAGACATTTAGTCTGATTCCAAGGCAACGATTGTTCACCTGGAAATACACTCTGCCACCTCCTTCCAAACCTAGAGAACAAATCCATGCTCCCAGAGGCAGAGAGAGAGCCTCCTTTCTCCATCCCTGAGGGAAGCCTGGGGTCCCAGTGGGGATACCACACAGCAGGGACTGAGCAGGTCAGGATACCTGGTGAGAGGTGAGGCGTGGGGACTCCAAGAGCCTGTCCACACTGAGGCCAAACTGTCCAGCGCTTCTCCTAGATCTGCATTATTTATCATTTTCTCCCCTTTTTTTGTTCATGTTTGGGAATTGAACCCAGGGCTTCAAATATGCTAGGCAAGTGCTCCTTGACTGAGGGACATCCTGGGCCTGTATTCATTCATCAACTTATTTGTCCATTCTTTTACCCATCCACCTAATGTTTCTCAACTGCATGCACATGGAATGGGCCTTTACATTTCCTATCCTGCTTTCTGCCCCTCTGGTAGCTCATAGGCAAACGGACGTGAAGCTGATCAAAGGAAGGACTGCGGTTTTTTGTTTTTGTCTTAGAAATGCAGAGCCAGGTAGAGGCCTCGGTGCCCAGTAAGAATAGCTGGTGTGAAGGAGAGCGTGAGGGAGAGAGGAAGTGTTTCTTTAAGTGGAGAAAAGCATCACCTAATAGAGGCGTCACCCTGGGTCTGTGTTGAGGCTCCTTGTGATGAGTTGTTTATGGGAATATGGGGTGCTGAGGTTTCTCCAGACAGTACTGGTGGCTCAGCTGTCTGAGTTACAGGGGCGTCCAGGATACAGGGCTATTGCTTGGCAGTCACCTTTGGGAGTTCTGCAGGCCGGGGCTTGTCATCTCCCTCAAGTCCCTTAGCCCTGCATCTCTAGCCTGGTGGATATAGGGATCCCTCTAGTCAGCTAAGTCCAGGTGCCTGACCTTGCGTACTAGTGATGAGGATATGCATTTGTAACACATTTCTGTTCTTGCCTCTCCTTGTTTTTTTTAAATTCAGAAAAGTCCCAGATTCCAGTTAGCCTTATCCATCCTGCAGCCTTTTCTAGCATTATCATTAATGTTTCAAATCCCCAAGAAAAAAGAGCCCATTAAGCAAATTAAGTTTGGCATTTTCCAGATTCTGTCTTCTTTCCTATGCCTTTCTTATGTCGTTCTCTGTCATGGACACGAGTGTAAATAAGTCACCTTAACGCGAGGCTCAGGAACTTCCTCTCCAAGTGGTCTGGTCATTTCAGTCTGACTTAACTACAGAGGCCCTTGTGTTGTAACAAGCACTGATGACCCTAGTTCTTACCTTTGCAGAACTTTTTCTCGTAGGGGATTCCATCTTTGGGATCAACACCCTTTAGAAGAAGAATGATGAGATCAGCTGTGTATATTTTTCAAGCAAAGAGACTAAATCCTTCCCAGTTGGCCTTGCAAGTGCAAAGATAAATCAATAGATAAAACCCTCAAAAGTTTCTCGAGCCCCTAATTCAACACAGGTAGATGTGTGTGAGAGCTGGGCTTAACAGGAACCGAGGGCAGGAATAGGGAGAGAACTTGCCTCCTTTTCATGGGGATGGGAGGCAACTTCTGGAAGAGACCCCAAGCCAAGAGTCCCCTCCTCAGCGCACTGGGGTGTGTGTGAGTGAGGAACTAGGACACAGGTCGGGGAGTTCTGCTGTCTCTGAGCAGAACATCTGTGTCCTGCAGCTCCAGGTCCTGATGACTCATGATTTTAGAGAAGCAATTCAACCAGAGGTGATTTTCCTCTTCACCCTACAGCTAACCCAGGGGACACTGGTCATGTCTAGAGGCATTTGTGGTTGTCACTGTTGGGTAGGAATGACCCTGGCATCTAGTGGGCAGAGGTGAAGGAGTGCACTGAACATGCTGCCATTTTTAAGACAACTCTAACAACAAAGAAGGGTTGGACCCCAATGGCAATAGTTCCAAGACTAAGAGTCCTGGAAGGAAATTTGGACCTCTTAAGTGAAACTGAGTTAAATGGCCAAAGGCTTCTAGATGAGAAGTATTTGGAGAGTGCTTGATGGTCAGAGATAGACTGAAAGTCCTGCAATCACTCTACTGGGCAATATGGCCTTGATGGTGCTAATGTCCCCTCTTTGTTCCTGATTTTGGGGTTATGGGGGCCACTCTTCCTCTGGGGAAGGCATAGGCATGGAGGTGAGGTGAGTTTCTCCCGCTACTCATGGAACCTCTGGTTTTGCCCTCCTGAGCTTAGTTGGTTTTCCTCTAGCCTTTGCATAGCATTTTCCATATGTGTAAAAGGCACACAATACCACAAGTCATGGTGGGGACAAACATGGGACAAACATGGCAGCCCCAGCATGGATCAATGCCTTTGTCCTCCATAGGACAAGCAAATTTGAGGTTATCAGAACAAAAGCTGCCTTGGAGGTCCTGACACCTTGAAGCTCTAGGAGAAGGGTCTTCTGCTCCATGAAGAATAATGTGTCTGAGGACAGTCCTCTGTCACCCTTTCCATGTACCAGAAGCTACAGGACCTAAATAAATATATTAGGAGACCACTGATATAAACCCGGACTATTAATGTCCTGGAGAGAAGATGATATTTATAGGAAGCGTCTCCCCTTTGTCCAAGGAGATAAATGAATGTTTACTTTGAGCTTAAAGACTATTAAACCTTGGGGCCCTTTGGTTACATCACTTCTGCCTATATGAGTGCCGGGAGTGGCTGGGAGCTGTAGAGGGCTCTAGGCTGAGTGGGAGAGGCCAGGCTGCAATCAGGACCTGTTTGCATGTAAGCACTTCTGCTTAATCTGAAAGGTTTTTATAAAAAAGGGATTTGAATTAATGAGACTTGAGTACTGTGTTAGGAACTTAGTGTTCTAAGTAATTGTTTACTTTCATTCATGACCTTGCATTTGTAAGTTGGTTTCCTTCCTTCCTTCCTTCCTTCCTTCCTTTCTCTCTCTCTCTCTCTCTCTCTCTCTCTCTCTCTCTCTCTCTCTCTCTCTCTCTCTCTCGTGGGATGGGAATTGAACCTAAGAGCTTTGTATTGACCTTACACCCCAGACCTTTTTTATTTTTTATCTCAAGCCTGGATCCCACTAAGCCATTACATTGCCCAGGCTGGGTTCAAAGTTGTGATGTCCCTACCTCCTGCCTGGCTTGTATTGATATCCTCATGAGGATCCTGCAACTCATGTAAATCTAAGACACTCAAAGTATGGTTCTAATGTCCTCGCTGTGTGCAGAGGAGTACCTGGCTGGCTTTTCTGCTTCCTTCCCTTGTCCTGGAAGCTGTGAACCCACTATTGCTGGAGTCTGATGCTTTGCGGTGTGGGTGGTGGGGTGAGCATGGGAAAGTCCTGCTCTGCTGATGAGGTTAATGAAACAGAGAAAAATGACAGCATTGTACCAGTGGCAAAGCATGGCTTGTGCTGACAGCAGGGTGAGTGGCTGTGAGCTTTCCTAACACTACACCACTTTGTTTCACTCTGTTTGACCTGGGTGACCACTAGCAAGGCTGAAGGGGCTGCGACAGAGCCTCAGCTTGTGTTCCATCATTGATGTTCTTCGCATGTGGTGGGGAGTCCATGCCCTCTTCCAAGCAGCAGTAAGAGAGTGACTGCAAGCTGTCACTCCCTTCATTAGGTGGGAAGGCAATGGGCCTTCAGGCAGACCAGAAAGTAAGACATGGGGAGTCAAACTGGAAGTTGGTTGCTTACCCAGATGCCATTGCAGTTGGAGTCTCGATGGGCATCCCAGTTGTCCGGCCTAAGAAAGAAACATCAGCACTGGTCTTTGGCATGAGTTCACCTCAGATGAGTGCATGGATGGATGCTACATGGCATAACACTGAAAGGCAACAGTGTTCTTCCAGCTAGTGCACCTCATGCTTCTCTGTGTGTTCCACACAGAAGCCTCTGCTCAGCCCTTTGCCTTTAGCTCAGTGGGGGGTATTTCCAAAGAAGCCTGGACCCAACGCAGTATCCATGGTGGGCTCTTCTCAGGGACTGCATTGGTGGGGCTGGCACTGGTGAGCATGGTGAATGCATGCTATCTGTTTTATTTAGAAAGTGGGGAGAGACTTTGAAATGTGCCTCTAAAATGGCACACTTCGGGTGACTTTAGTGCTTCTTCACTGCCATTACAACATAAGTGAAGGGTGGCATCTCCTTTTTTTGATGTGAATGGTTGAACATCAACTTAAGATTCAAGGGTGGCATACTTTCTTTCCACTCCTAGATGCCCTTGGGAGGGGATCTATTTCTATTTTTTTATCACTAACATGATGCAAAGTGATTCACAAATTTTAGGTACTTGATAAGCATCTCTTGACCCAGTGAATGAATGAATGAATGCGTGAATGAATGAATGCCATTCTTTTTCACTAAGCTATTGAGGCACAGAGTTCTCTAAGTGGGAATCATGATGCCTGGAAGAAATGATTCCTGTTGCCTGCTTTGCTGGAGGTCATTTTCAAAGCCTGACAGAGTTACCTTCTGCCTGGGTACACAGTCTTGTCACTGTCGTTACAGTCTCTCCCTCGCCAGTGGTAGCCCCGCAGCGTCTGAAATTAAAAAGCACACATGATTTGCGAATTGCTTTGATGTTATCCACATGAAGATTAATCAGAGTCGTCGGAGGAGTGTTGACCTTTAATTCAAATACAGCTTAGGATCACTGGTGATCATTAAGGAAATGAGTATTATTACAAGACATGCTATGTGAGGTGAAGTGTAATATCACACCAGGACCAATAACAGGTGGGGATGTGTGTGTCTGTGTGTGATGGTACGTGTGTGCCTGTATGTGGGTACGTTGGGGTACACGTGTTTGCATGTGTATACACATATGTGCATGTGTGTTATACATGTGTGTGTGGCACATGTGTGTGTTTACGTGTATCTATCTTTGTATGCACATGTGTTCATGTGTGTGTGTTAACATACACTTCCAGACACAGCAGGACCATCCAACTTCCAAAAATTCCCCTGGGAATCTTCTCAGGGTCTACTATAATTCTCTTTGTTTTTGCCAAATGGTTAGGTACTTTATGGGGCAATTAAAAAATAATCTAGCTCAACTGATAATTATGTGGATTTATATGTTTGATCTGACTTCTTTAAAAGAATAAAATATCATAATAACATCAAACAATGTTTTAATTTCCTGCATTCCTAAGTCCATCTGAGATCTCACAATGCTGGAGGATTGGCGTATATTACCTTCTTGTTTGCTTTTCCAGAAAACATCAGACACCCTATCAGCTCACAACCAAATACACACATATGTGTACTTTAAATAAACAAGATAAAGTAGTGTTAAGAATTTCCAAAATAAATCCCAAAACCTTTCAACAAGTAGCTCCTATGGACAATTCCAGCTAGAATAGAAAAAGATGTACTTTGACGGGGTATGTAAGTTTATGAAGCTAGAAAGTCACTGAACACTGTGAAATGATGTATTTTTCACCAAACTAATAACACACTCAGATGAAACTCAGTCTTGTCTTATTAAGGGAAAGAAATCTGTAGAGAGTGATATAATATCCAGTGAACATCTGGGTATTTGGAATAATACTTACTGGGAAAACACTATATTTGTCTGAGTCAGCATCTTTGAGTGGCATGGAAGTTTGTATAGACCTAGAAGAGAGAAAACAGAATACCCTGGTGGGCTCAGGAAAAAGGAAATGATGTTTGTAAAATCAAAAAGGCACATTTTCAGAGATAGCTGTGTTGAATTCATAAGACAGAGGGCTCATCTAAAAATAACGTTCAGGGTCCGCATGGTGAGTGGACCTCCAGCCAAACTTGGCCAGTCTCTGCTCTGCACTTTCCAGAAGTGTTTCGATCTGCTATTTGACGTGGCCCACGTCGGGGTGGTGGCGGAATAAATGAAGTTGTAGAGGGCATGGATGGCTGATGTGAGGACACTGGGAAGCAGGGGAGTGTGTTTGGAGTCCAGTCAATGAACTTGGCATTACGAATTGAACGCATTTCCTTTTACATATTCTGCTTATTCTCTCCACCCACTCACTCTGGGGCTCTGGAGGCATTTGGATATCATCAGTTGGCAATTTTGAAACCCAAGTATGAGCCCATGTATCCATAGAGCCTGATGTGACAATCAACCCAACCAATCCGCTCTATAAGGGAGTATTTCCCCTGTGCTACTGCTCCCAGACTGTCTCCAGCTTCTAAGTGGCAGATGGCTTCCCAGGTAGGACAGTTTCCTGCAGGACAAGGCTTTTCTTAGAATCTGAAAGTTGGAGGTAGAATTTCTGCCTTGTCTAGGATTTATCTGAGGTTCTTTTGAATTCAGAGCATTTTGCAGTGCTGAGAATCTCTAAGCAAATGAATACAGCTCAGCAGAGTGAATCAGGCTTTTAAAATCTCTTATAGGGAGAGTAGGACTAGGACTTCAGGGTTCCAAGGAGGGTCAGAGGTTGGCTGCAAAGGTGACGCTCATCTATTGCCTGCTCTATAATCTTGGGCAAATAACTTTCCCCCTTGGAGGCTAACAAAAATGATGTCTGCCTTAGTGGGTTGCTCCTGGTGAAACAGATAACACTGGATAAATTTTAGTTATTATTATTACTGAGCCAGAGAATGTTTTGAAGAATAAATGGGGCTGTGTTTAAGTGAGTTTTGTAAATCACAAAGCAGTGAACGAACTGTAATCTGGTGCAAATTATACTCAGGCCACAATGATTTTGAATAAAAGAGAAAAAAACCCACATTGTTTTTGCTTTTGTTTTTCATAAAGGAATAATTTTCTTTTTAAATTGGGCCAGGATACTCCCTGGCTGCAGATGCTCTTGAATTTAATTTTGCAAAAGTGGTTCAATTGAAGAGTTGTCACTTGGGGACTACTGGGTACTGCTGGTCTGTGTTTAACATGGAAGACGCAGTGACCTGTTCACTGAGGAGGGGCAGGGGTCCTGATCCAAGAGGAGTGAGGCATGATGACATGAGTGGCCGCCATCATCTTTCCTGTCCAATTGCCCTCTCTTCCCCTCACAGATCCCTAAGGCTCTTGCATCTCTCCCTCATTCACAAAAGGGGAAGTGCTACTGTTTCTGGGATCCTGGCCAGCAGCTAGCACAGCTGGCCAGAGGGTTTTTGCTGGCAGATGAGTCAGGAAAAGTTTGTAACTCCCGGGTCCCTAAGAGCCTGTGAATCTGGGTCAGAATCACAGCGGTTTGCTCCTCTCTCTCTGGAAGTTTTCATGGCAGTTGAGAGATGTCCTGGGGCTTAGCTCCTTGTAAAACCCAAGAGATGAAGGATAGTGGCATAGTAAAAGTTTTTGGTATGGGTTGATTTATGTTCAGCAGAAGTCTTGAAGTTCTAACCCCCAATGCCTGTGAATGTGACCTTATTTGAAAACAGGATCTTTGCAGATGGGAGCAAGTGAAGATGAGGCCATTGGGGTCACCCTCATGCAATATGACTGGGGTCCTTATCAGAGGAAAAGAGACACCTTGGAAAGGTGGCCATCAGAAAAAGGGAGCAGAGATTGGCATGACGAGGCTGCAAACTAAGAAGTCCAAAAGTTGATGGCCCTCATGAGAAGCTAGGAAGACAGCAGGAAGTAATCCACTCAGTCTTAGAGGGAGCCTGGCTCTACCACCACCTTGATTTTAGACTTTTGGCTTCCAGAACTGAGGCAGTGTAAATTTCTATTGGTCTAATCCACCTGGTTTACAGCATTTTGTTATAGCAGCCACAGGGAACTGTTACAGCCTCTCAGACCTGATGTGCTGATGGTTCTCACGCTGCATATCCTGAGGTCTGATCTGTACCTCCTGTGAGGGCCAGGCTGGAGCAGCAGGGGCCAAATGAATAGGGGCTCTCACAGTAGAGGGAGAGTGAAAGAATCAGTGATTGGAGTGGATGGTTTGGTCTAAATGACCGTAGGAGGGTACTGGGGACCCTGGTCTCTGCCTCCATTTCTTTCATACTTGGCTAGGGGATGAACTGTGCTATGTGTTCCTGCCCTGATGTACTATGCTTTTGTCTGCCCAAAGTAACAAGATCAAAGGGTCATGGGCTTAAACCTACAAACCCATGAGCCCCAAAAAACCTTTTTTCTCTTTAACTTGATTATCTCAAGTAGTTGTTGTAGTCATGGCAAGCTGACTAACACATGCGGAAGGGAGAGCCTATGCTATTTTGCCTCTTTGTCCAGTGTCCTCTTGAATCACTGTCTGTCTCTTCACATTTTGTTCAATGGTTCTATTATACCTAGTTTAACCCTAGATGCGAAGTAGAGCTAGAGATGGGATTTTACAGTGAGATGAGGGACTTGGGAATTCTAGACAGTGTTCTTCTATCTGGAATCCTGTTCTATATGTCTGATTCAGGTAACCTCCTGCTGGGCTCTGTGAAGAAAAGAGTCCCCCTTTCACCTTCCTGCATGCTTTGCCCCAAAGATGCTCAGAGTCCCAGTCATAAACTGGGGACAACTGGGTCTGTGTCTTCTAGGCAAGGGTGCACTGTCTCCAGTGTCATACAGGGGATGCCAGGGTTGCAGAGACAGGTGGATGGCACACTGCAGGTTACAGAGCAGGCTCGGAGGCTCAAAGGTTCTGCCTGGCCTGTGTATCTCCAATGTGACTTTGCTGGAGTTTACTCACCACCCAGTCTCTGTGTAAACCCTGCTTAGAGCAGAAGCAGCATCTGCTTTAGGAAGATGCTTCTCAGATGTGAAAATCATTTTAACCATAGGAAAACAGAGGCAAGCAGAGATGTCACCATACACTTGGAAGGTAGAAAGAGCATACATACGTACACTTTAATTTTCTGACAGATCTTGGCCAGAAATGGGAGTGAGCATATATCAGAACCACTTCTGAGATATTTCTAGAAAGAGAGAGAGAGAAAGACAATAAAAAGACAGATGTTTAGTTTGAGAAATATTTGGGTTTTCTTCTAGAATCATCCTACTTATCTTACTTTACTTCCCATTTCTGCCCTGCAGTCCATACCGACTCTGCCTCCCGTGCCATGGTACTGCTGGTTCCTCAGCCTGCAGACGCCCCCTTCCAAGCACCCCACTCACCCCCAGCCACCTCCCTACCTCCCCCATGGCACAGAGAATAGTTTGCCACTCCCCCACTTGTCACCCTAGGATCCTGAAGAACTCTTGGAGGTGTCAAGCCAAGGAATCACATGCACATCTCAAAGGATATCTCCAGGGCTGGGGGAAAGCTCATGAGAGATAAAGGATGCTTGAGACACACGGCAGGGTTTGCACTAGGGCCACAGGGACTGAATGTCCAGTCCTTGGTGTGTGGCCTATCCTTGCAGTTGGTATGTTCCTTGCCCACAAGGTGCACCCTCCCGTGGCCCATTGTTGTCAGGAATGTCATTACATGGCACCTGACTGTATTTGTTTTTTGTGTTCTTGAATTTCCTATGAATGGAATCATACAGCTGGCACTCTTTTTAAGTTTTATCTCTTTCATTTCCATGTTGCTGCAAATACCTGAAGTTCATTCTCTTTCTCATAGCTGTTCAGTATTCCATTGTGGGAAACCCAGATTGAGAATCTTGTCAGTTTTGGGCTATTATGAATAAAATTGTTAGGAAAAATGATTTTTAAAAATATGCCTTTGAACTTTGTCAAATACCCTCATCCCCCAAGTTGCCACCGGTTGGAACATCTGCTGTAACCTAGGGTGGGGGGAACGGTACTGGAAAGAAGAGGGGTTCAGAAAACCCAGCAAAGCTTGGGGTCAGATGGAGACCAGGATTGTAGTCACACAATAAGACAAACACTCACTGTGATTATGCAACCCATCAGTGGCAGTTTGGAGTATGGACACATTCTGGGCCCCAGAGTCCAAAGACAGGTCACATTTGGATGTCTGAGCTATTTCTTTTAATATTGACTTTAGTCCAGAGGTCTCAGGCTAATTATCATAATGACAGTGTAGATTTTTAACTCTGATGATCACCAACATGCACACGAATTTACATGAACAGTCTTATAATTACTATACAAGAGGCACAATAGGATAAAATTTTATAATTGCCCAGCTGTTCACTGTCAAAATCCATCCTAAGGCTGCAGCTGTCTCTGATACTCATTGTGCAGAAATCTGGGCTAGCGATTAGGTGATAGATGATGTAACTTGTCCACAGATGCCCCGGAAAGCCTGCTGTTTAGACAAGTTTTGGTTATCTGGTCTTTCATCACAGAGAATGGGAGGTACATTTGCTCCTAAGCTCTGTTCCTACCTTGGAATAATTTGCTTGCAAAGAAAACTAAGATAAGCCTAGACGTTCTTGCCTGTACATTTTTAGTTCCCTCAATTTGAACTTTGCTAAATAGGGACAGAAATACAGGCAGTTATTAGTTCAAGAATAGATTTAAAATATTGCATGGAGCTCATCTCATCTCATCTAAAAGGGAAATCTCAAATCTGGGATGTCCTTGGAGACAAGAGGCAAACGGCATCTTCAGTTTGTAATCTATTCCACCAGAACCCATTTGCCTCCTGAGCTGCCCCCATACCATGGTGTTAAATGAATGCAGAACAACAAACACATCAGGAATAGAGAAAATTGTGGTGAGTGGCAGAAAGAGAAGGCCAAAGGGAGAGAGTAAGCACCTTTCTGCACGCAGGGAAACCGAAATTGAATTTCTGTGTGGTAAAGTGCTCTTAAGCCCTTTTTCTGTATTTTATTGCCTGGTTTTAATTGGTTTGGGCATCAAAAAATTTTAATGTCCTCCCAGATGACTCTACTAAGCAGGTAGCATTGTGACCAGGGTCCTGGTGTTCAGTTGCACAGGCCTTCTCAAATCACTCTTTTATTCCCAAAGCCTGAGGTTTAAACAGCACCCTTGAGTTCAGCACTGAGGCTTGACTGGGGAGCTGCTAGCGTTGAAGAAAGGGTGTTAGACTTAGAAACAGCTAGCTCTGGACTTCAGAGATGATTTTCTGACTTAATAGCTACATGAAGTAAGTGGATTGCTAAGCTCTAGTCCTCTTCTCTGTGTGTTTTGTATTGGTAAAAATTAAATTCTGTAACCCAGGTACTCTGTGACCTATGACTTGGCGCTCCCTAAATCCATGCAAAGCTCCCAGGAGATCCAGAACATTTCTGGGGCATTTTCTTCCCTTCTGAAAAATATGACTCATGATTCTGGTCTAGGTGTTTACAGCCTGATAAGCGGTGCTGGAAAACCCACTACGTGTTGCTTTCCTGCTTAGGTTCTTAGTTCCATCCGCCATCATGATGGAATTTACTGCCATGATATTCTCTGAGGAGTTTTCCAGAGATGTTCATTTGCATTTTCTGCTTAATTTTTTTCCTTTATAGTTCTAACCCTGAGAGTAAATAAATTGGGCAGTTTTTAAAAAAAAAATTGTTGAAATGTTCAGTAGAATTTCTTTTGGCTTCTCTGGCTAGTCAGTATTGGAATCCTGCCTCTCAAATTATGCTTTCAATCCTACTGACAGAAATTTAAAAAATGCAAAATCCTAATTAGCCCTCGAGTTAATGCCAAGGAAGTTGTGCTAATCAAATAAACAATGACCTGAAAATAAGTTTCTAGACCCACACTGAGCAGGATAAAAGACACATTATGTTTTTCTCCACAGCTTTGAAGGTGGCAGTCATGGGTTTCTAGTGGTGTTACCATTTCTTATCCAACAATATAAGCAGATTAGCTGAGCTGGCTACTGCCAGCCTTTAATTATCCACTGAATTAAATAATGATCTGTGAAGCAGACATTGTGATTGATTAATCAATTATGTAGAAATGCCTGCGTGTTGCTATTTAACATGGATCAACCTTGTACATCAAAACCCCTGTGACTCTCCCACATAGGATTTCAGATAAAAATATTGTACTGGACATGCTTACACTAAGAAAAAAATATTCATTGGTTCTCTGCAGTTTAAATTTAATGGGCCATCCTGTGTTTTTATTTGCTTAATCCTGTAAACTGTGACCTAAGTGATTTTTCTTCCTTCTATTTTCATGTGGCCAAATCGATAATACCTTCAATGTCTTATAGCAGAGTGAGCAAGAAAGGAGGTCTGCAGGGAGTCCAGGGTGGGTCTGGTGCCCTCTCACTGGGGATGAATGCATCTTTCCTGCCCGGGTCTCCAGCACTGAGGATGACACTGGGCTTTAAAGTTCTGCTCCTCTGCTTCCTTTTTAGCTGGGGCTGATTTTCCTATCAGAGCAAATACCTGACTCTTTGATGACTTGTTTGACTAGAAATGTCATTACAAGGAGGACAAATTAGGGGAGATGAACAGTGATGATGTTAAGTTTATACTTGGTAAGCCTGAGGCCTGATAGCAGGTGCTTTGCATGCAGGAACTCTGTTAGCAGCCTCCCTGCTCCAATCAGGCACAGCAAAGAGCACCAAGCCTGAGGTCACATTTGTAGGAAGTGGGAGGGGCAGGAGGACATGGCTTCCTGAAGACTGCTGGGGGAGAGGATTGTTCTCACCGGGGTTATTTTACCCTTCAGAGGCTGTTTAGCAATGCCAAGAGACATTTTTGATAATCCTGGATGGGGAGGGATGGATGGCATTGCTGGTGTTAGATGAATAGAGGGCAGAGACGCTGCTGGATCCCACATGGCAGCCCCTACCACAGGATTATGGAGCCCCAAATGTCAGTGTGCCATGGTGGAAACCTTTCTAAAGGGGAGAAGGCAGGAGGAAATTGTGGAAAGGAGCTCATGTTCTTATTTTAGTCACCAAGAAATTAGGGCAAACAGGGGGCAGGCTTGTATCCAAAGCAGCCCCCAGCCTTTGAGGTATACGGGGAGGGCAAAGGAGGGGAAGGCATGCCCAGAGAAAGGCTGGTGTTCCCCCCATGACCGCTTACCATGGCTGTGGACTTCTTGACAATATGTCTTGCTTTCTCTTGTGTCAATTTCCATGCCTCCTATAAAACAAAGTAAGACAGTATCATAACTTGGGCCCCATCTTTTCCACATGTTTTCTAAAGTGAAAATTCTGAAGTCTTTAAGTTGAAATAAATTGCTCTATAAATTTGTGATAAAGCAATTTGCAAGAAGGTTATTTTACGTTAATATGTGGGTGTTTAAATTTTAAACATTTATTCCAATAAAAGACACAGTGCTGGGACTCTCCCTCAAAATATTCTCCCTCACTTCAAAACAAACACTTATCCCATCATTCTGGTCACTTTCTGGAGCATTCTGGAAGTACTGTACTCTTCCATGAGTGTCTTTTGTTGTGCTTCTGTGACTGCCTCCATGTCTTGAATTGATTCAAAACATCTGTAGAAATTTATGCCAAACAAAAACACGACAGGACATCTTCATCTATCTCTGGATATGGTGCCATGTGGCTTCTGGCCCTTTCTTAAAATCAAAATGACCACGAATGGTCAACATTTTCAATGGATTCAGGACATTGAGGCAAACAGGACAACACACTTAAAGACTTGTGCCAGGGCACAGACTTGGGTAGGCTGTTGACAGTCTTCGGCTGGTGGGGCTGCTGATTGTCTGATTGATTGATTTCTATATTGGAAAATTATTAAAGGACTATTGGACATGTTTCAGAAGGCAGCCAGCATGGTGGATGTGTGTTTAAAAAGAGGGGGAGTATTTAGGGGATCAATGGCAATGTGTCTTTTACTGTAATAAAAATTTTAACTTCTAATTTAAATACTTATTGTATATTTTGCTCACATGGTAATTTGGTATCTTTATTGAAGGCTGCCCAAGATGTTTCAGGAGGTACATTATAAGCTTTGTGGTACTCTGTCTTCACAACCGTGCCCAGAGATAAGACCACCTCGTAGGAGAGACAACAGTGCTTCAGAAAAGCTAGCAAAATGGCTCAAGGCCATGCCTCTAGAATCTGGCAGAGATGTGGATGCTGCCTGGATCCTGAAGCCCTTGAGAAAGAGTGCACTTTGGGAAGAGATGAGCATGATGGGTGGGGAGACAGCCCAGGACAACAAATGTCCTCAGAAGGCTTTGCATGGAGATTCCAGGACCCCAACCTTGAGTTTCTGGTGGAACCTGTGCGAGTCAAGTAAAAAGAATCTCATCAGGAACCTGGTGAACTTGAGGATTACTAGGACAGCATTAAGAGTTGGACTAGAGGAGCATTGCCCTTCCTATGCCAAGTGCCCTAGGCAAAAAAGCTCAACTACTTCCTTCTACCATGCAGGTAACAACAGCACTCATCAGCATTAGCTGTCAGGAACACAATCACCAACATTAAAGACTAGAAAGAACACCTGATTGGCTCACAGAAGCAGGTTTCTGGAGAGAGTAGTCCCAGGACGGGTGGATTCAGCACTCAAAGGGGACACGGGGTGGGTATGGTGGTACGTTTTTTTAATCCCAGCACACTGGAACCTGAGGCAGGACAATGGCAAGTTGAAATCCAGACTTGAAAACTTAGTGACTTAGTGAACCTCTGTCTCAAAATAAAAAATGAAAAGGGGCTGGGGACATAGCTTGGTGTGAAGGCCCTGGGATAATTTTCTAATACTGAAATCAATCAATCAATCAATCAATCAATCAATCAGCAGGCTCACCAGAAGAAGCTGTCAACAGCCTACCCCAGGGTTTGTGCCCTGGTACTAAAGAATCACAGTCACTGCCATGGTAAGCTCCCACTCCATCTCTCATTCACCATCCCCTCTCCAGGTTCAGTATCCTCTGTCCTCTTCTGGCCATTTCCAGAGCATCTGAGAACATCCAAGTTGCCTTCCCACTATACAAGCTTGCAAATCTAGAGCTGGCTCATTATGAACAATAAAGATTGTTATGCAAAACCCCAAGGACCTATGTTTGTGTCTGCATAGTTGGGAGAAAAATGGCACTAGGATTGGAGGAGGGGTGTGGGGAAGGTTTGCCTACAGCACTGCTTCCTAGAGCTTTGATGCCCGCTCCCTGCATACCTCAGCCCTGCCACCCCTCCGCACCTGCTCCCCATGCAGCCCAAAGCAGGGCCCTGCTAAGTCATCCATGGCTTGATTGGAAGGTCTGTCTCTGCCCTCACTTCCACTGACACCAAAGCAGCAGAGAAGCTGGGATTTGGGGGAGCTGTGCAGTTCTCTCTCAAGATCATTGAGAATGTAGTTCGTGTAAGTGAACCATAAAGTTGCATGTGGGAAGGGACTTTTGGACTTTTGGAGTGGAGGATGAGAGGAGGCCCTTGGGAGATGCTGATCTTTGCTTCTGATGAATGACTGGCACTCAGGTTACCCCTTAACCTTGGTCCATTCCTCACCAGGAGCCCCGTCTCTGCATTGCTACTGTGTGGTCCTCTGAGGACACCAGCTACGTGGGAGAGTCTGTGTAAGATGCAGTGACTGCCAGAGAGATCTGGGATGGTGCATCCTCGAGGAGAAGCTTCCTGGAAGAGGGTCTCAGTGCCAGCAGGCTGAGCCATCTCCCTGGTGTCAGACCCACCCCTTAGCTCATGATCAAGATCAAAGGACAGCTAATTGTATCCCTTAAATCAAAGGCAGCAGTCTGGCTGGTAGCCAGAAGTGTGTGAGGGTGACCTGAAGAAAGGACACCTTCTCAGGTGGAGCCAGATGCCAGGCACAGGAGATGCCTCTCAGGACACAGGCACCTTGCTGTGCTGTTGGGGACAGCTGTGTCCCTAAGCTCCCAGGTGTCCCTTCTTTCCACTGCCCTGGTCACCACTCAGCCTCTTCCTCTTCCTATGGTGCCCAGCCTCCTTGGGATGGGTGAACAGAGAGGGGTTGGTGAGAGGGTGCCATCCAGTGGGAACCTCTAGGCTGTGCTCCAAATTCCCCAGAGTCCACCCCACTGGCAGAGACAGAAGAGGACAGTCCTCACTTTTTAACCATTGGTGTCTATCACAGGAAGGCTGCTCAGGGACTGGGCCCCCACTCAAAAACTACGCTTGTTGAAATACTTTTTGCTTTTTTTTTTTTTTTTGGCTTTTCCTGGAAATTCTGGCAAAGCCTTAAAGTTCCCCACTGTCTAAAGTCAGTCCATCTGGTATTGCCTAGGCAGGAGACACCAAATCTAAGTGCTGATTTTTCTGTTTGGCTACACTTATTGGTCTCATGTTTGCTCTCCGTGATGTATATTTTTTAATTGAACCCTGAGCTACTGAGCTACATATCAAGCGTTTCTTTTTCTCTCCTCTCCTCTCCTCTCCTCTCCTCTCCTCTCCTCTCCTCTCCTCTCCTCTCCTCTCTCCTCTCCTCTCTTCTCCTCTCCTCTGTTCTCCTCCCCTCCCTCCCTTTCTCTCTCTCCTTTCTCTCTCTCCTTTCTTTCTTTCTTTCTTTCTTTCTTTCTTTCTTTCTTTCTTTCTTTCTTCCTTCCTTCCTTCCTTCCTTCCTTCCTTTCCTTCCTTCCTTCCTTCCTTCCTTCCTTCCTTCCTTCCTTCCTTCCTTCCTTCCTTTCTTGACAGGATCTGACTAGGTTGCTAAGCTGGGTTTGAACTCGCATTCCTCCTGCCTCAGCCTCCCAGGATGCTAGGATTTCAGGAATGCACCGCTACACTCGGCTCCCATATGGAATCTTAAAGGCAGTATTTATGGATTTCCTGCTTTTCTGTCTTGGAAAGATTCCTTTACATGGAAACTCCTCATTTAAACATCTACAAAGCCCAGTACAGTCTCTGATGTACAGTAGCTGCTCAATAAATACAGAGACAGAAAGAAGGAAAACATTATGATACTGTATTAATCAAGAATCACAGGCTTCCAGATTTTATACACAGAGCAAAACGTGTGAAGAAATACACTAGTGTTTGGGTGATAACTTTTTCCTTGTTATTTTCTGTGTTTTCTAATTTTTAAAGAACGAGCACCAATTTAGAAGCAAATGCTTTTTAAAAAGAGCTGGATCACAAGACCTTGTTTCCTACTGAAGAGAATGATGTGCTTTATGATAGTGTGTATGTGCTAGTGAGGGCCTGGGGGCACTGGATTCCCTGCCTTCTGAAAGTTTCCAGCCTGGTCAGAGCTTGAATTGAACATGAACAGTGAAATGAAGAAAAAGGAGCAGAGAGAAGACCTTGGTGACAGTTTCCTTGTAGTGGCCCTGGATCCCTTTGAAAGCACCTCTATGATTTTAGCCCAGTCCATCCTCTGGGGCTCAGTGATTGTTGGAGGATGGAGACAAACTATAAAAACATGATGGGGCCCTTGACACACTGTTGGTGGCGGGTTGCTTCTGTGGCCTTCTAGGAGGCCATGGCCAGGTTTGTGGGACATTGGAGCCAGCGGTGGAGGCAGCAGGAAGCAGGGGCTAAGCTGAAGGGGAACATAGGGTTTCTAAGGACAGAATGAGCGATCCAAGAGCAGGATCCTAAGTCCCAAACCAGAGGTGAACCAAACCCACCCATTTACCCAGTACCTCCTGCACATTGCAGTTACAATGTCCAGTGGGACAATCTGCATTTCTTTGGGAAACTGGGGAAGGGGAGGATCTCACATTGGACCACTGCTGCAAGATGCAGCTAGGGTGACAGCTGAGTGGAGCCAGAGGGGCGGCCAGGTTTCCAGCACATTCATGGGGAAGAGGGTGAGGAGTCCCTGCTGAATCTCCATCACTGCCAGTGAAGCAGAAGGGATTGAGGAGAAACCCTTGGAAGGAAGGAGCCTGAAGAGCAGTGGGAGAAAGAAACCAGCTGTCTAAAAATTACAAGGGTGCTGGGTTCTGACAGCTGGACCATAGCTGGGAAAGACAACGAGGTGTCTGTGCTGCTGTTACTGGAATACCCAGATTGTGTTCTATGGTGTCAAGGAATGAACCATGGACAGAGGAGGTGGGGGGTGAAAGCAAATTTATTGAAAAGATATAAAGGCAAGAAAGTAGAGCTCCCACTAGCTGGGAGGAGTCCCGACCGAGTAGGGTACCCAAGCAGGCGCTTGTCATGGAGAGAGTTTGTAAGCATTTCAGGAAGAGCTCA